TATGGGCAATGGTTTTTGCATTGAGACACCAAGTCAATTCAAATGGCTCTCAGTCAGATAGAGAATACATGCATTGGCCTCTGTCAATATGAATTCCAGAGGTCAGTTAGGCTTGGTTTCATCTAGGAAGCCATGGTTTATGCTGCCATCCTTAGGGAATATATGTCAAGATAACTGAGAACACTTGCTGGATGAAGGAGATGTATGAAAGGCATCATTGAATTAGCTAATGCCATGTGGCTTTAGGCTCAAGTCAGACTGCAATACAAGTCTTTCCAGCTAAAAATCTTTGCTAACAGGAGCCTACACTGAGGGCTAGTTCTGATTCCACCATTTCACTGTGCTCTTTAGGAAGTGCCACTGCCAGCAAGAGGGCCTGAGCTCATGAAAGCCCACCTCATTGTTCTGGGAATAGAAAATTGTAGGCACCCACAAATCTTTCTTGAAAATCAGAAATCAATAAACAAAATGGCACCAGGAAGATTTGGAAAGGAGGTTTTGGGCGGTTAAGAATGAGTTCCGGAGTGATATTAACATCAAGTCTGTCTGGGATACGAATGATTATATAGCAATCAAGGGGAAATGCACCCTGACAAGAACAACTGACGCTTCCCATCCTTGTTCACAACCTTCCCAGGGCTCAATGAGCAGCTCTGATAGTCAATCCTGAGAGAGCACAGCCAGGTCCAAGCATTTCCAAAATGGTGTTTTTGTGGCGCAACCAGTGCAGTAGTCGTTAGTGGCTGACAAGTTTACTCAGCTCAACAGCCACTGAGCAAACTGTATTCTTCGGACCATAACTGTGAGGCTATTGCAGTCTGGGGGTGTACCCTGCCCCTTGAGTCATCATTTTCTACCACTGAGGGATCCTTTGTTAGGTACTGCCGTTGCCTGGCTTTGTAAAAACGACACTCATTTGCTGGCCAACAGTCAACACTCAACAGATGTTTAGCAAGTGGATTTAGCAAGAATGAATGAGCAACATCTACTCCTCAGTCTATGTCCTTCACTGTCCACTGAGTTATTTTCAATCATGTCATAATTGAATGAGGCTTCTCAAATTCCTCATCTGCAATTCCAGGACCCAGGCAGCTGCGTAGGCTGAGACTTTGTCATAACTTGTTGGAGGAATAAATTGAGCTCCTCAATTTTAAACTGGTGTAAGGATACTTCTTACCCTAGAACTTACTTGGAACCTTCCATAGCTGGAGAGAATAAATGGGTACTGTTTTCAGCCCTGGAGTTTGTAGTGATTAGAACAGCAGTGAGCCTGTGTGTGCATCACTCAGAGCAGTAGAGTAGGCAGTGAAGGTTTGGAGGTGACACAGTACTGTGATACTTCCTCCTCAACCATACCCACCTGCTTTTGCCTTGGGGTGCTGACCTATATGGAGCCCTTTGCCCTCTGCTTCCCTTAGTGTGTGGGTGTTGTGGGACATCAGAGTAAAGTATGGAGGAAGGAGACTGTCAGCTGGATGACCAAAGGCAAGCTGTGTGACTCAGCAGATGGCTGGATCCTTGGAACTCTGCCTACAGGCTGGTGTCCATTGTTCACTGTGGCCCCAGAGTAGGACAGAGACCATTGTCACCAGCTACTACTCTAGCAACTGTATCTTTACACTCTGCCTGATTGAACTCTGATTGAGCAAATATTCCAGATTTCAGTTGTCTTAGTGCATTTGAGCTATTGTTACAAAAATACCATGGATGAGGTGACTTGTAGACAGTAGGAATGAAATTCTTATAGCCTTGAAGCTGGGAAGATCAATGTGCTAGTAATTGCTGTGTCAGGTAGGGACCTTGTCCTGGGCCCTAAGGTCCATCTCTGTGCTGTGTCCTCACATTGTGCCCTAAGATTCACAGGGCACTAATCCCATGGATTAGACCACACCCTCATGACCTACTCACCTGCCAAAGGACAGACCTCAAAATAATATCACGTTGGAGGTCAGGCTTTGACATAGGATTATGTAGGTTCACCAACATTGACCCCCATAACACAGTTATGTTGTCTACTTCCACTGGGACACTGACAGATACACTTCTTCCTGATAAAGCTGATCACAGACCATAGCTCAGGTGTGTGAGCAGGTGGCTGATTGACCATTAGCACCCACTCCCAGACAGCACTAACAATCTCTGGGGATGGCTGACCACCCCTGGCTAGCAAGGCCCTTCTCAGTAGGAAGGAGGAGCCCACAGCAGGCTGAGCATAGTTCCTTGTCTCAAGATCTCCATTTGGAAAAGCTGTTCACTTACAACTGCAGGAATGGATGGGGAGGTAGAGAGAGGAGTGTTACAATTCTAGGGAACAGGGGCACCCCAATTCCAAGGGGCATGAGCATCCTAGTTATCCTTAGCTTCTGCCTTTGAGCAGTAGACTTCGAGGTGAAATCTAAGTCATAAGAGAAAGTACTATGGTAAGTTGCTGCTTCAGACTGAATTATCCCCTAACCCAGTTCACATGTTGAGCCCTCCCGACACCTCAGACTGTGACCTTATTTGGAAATTGCATTTTGCTGATGTAATTAGTGAAGCATGAGCCCTGATCCTCCGTGACCAGTGTACCCCACCACAGGGAAATCTGAACATGGAAAGGCACAGAGACCATATGCAGACACGTGGCTGAGGCACCACCTAATCCTGGTGCAGAGAGGGGTCAGGAATGGACTCTCCTCACAGACCTGGGGAAGAACCAGACCTGTTTCCATAATCAGGAGACAATACTCGGCTAAAAATGACATCACTCACCTGGGGTCATTCTGCTAAGGCAGCTCCTGCCAACTAGTGCAGGCAAATTTCAAAAGTGTGAAACAGGCACCAAACAGTGTTATAAAATTAATAGAGGGAAGCTGCTAGAAATTTCTCCAAGAATACAAAGGAGCACTGTGCAGGCAGAACAGAGCAGGAAGACCTGGCACAGAATGGTGGGTCTCAGGAGTGACTGGGTGGCCGGGTCCAGGGACTGATGTCCAGGTCACACTAGCACATTTTGTGTCAGATGCTGGCACTCAGTGCCTCCCCACCCTCCTGAAAGCTTGCCTGTGTCCAGTCCCAGGTGCCCGAGAAGGGCATTTCCAAGTTCTTCCTGGCAACAGCTCTTGTTACCACTTCCCTTAGGACAACATCCCTGTAAGTTTGGAGGTGGCTGAAGCAGATGCCACTCCTCTCACAGCAGCTGGGCAGACACACATGAGCATCACCAGGAGGAGCAGGATGCTCGCCTGTGGTCCAGGGCTCCAGGGATTCTGTGGGGATCCTGGGTGGCAGGCTGACAGCAGCTCCTGTTTATGCAGAGCCAGCCCCGCCCTGACCTCTGCTTCCCAGACCCCATCAAGAGGCTCAGCTTCCAATCCCCTATACTCAATCTCCTCCTGCTTAGGGGAAAGGAGATTGTGTGGCTGGACGTTCCTGGGAGTCACCCAACACAGTCACATTTCCCCCATCA